CTGGCGGAGCCAGTATGTCGCAGCCGTGGTCGCGGTCGCGGTTACCGGCGCGATCGCCGTCGCGGTCGCCGCCGTCGTCAACCGTTCAGGGCTCGCCGTCGCCGCCGCCGTCGTCATTGCCGGCGGCGGCGTCTTCGCCGTGGTCGTCGTCGCGGACGCCGTCGCCGCTTCATCGGCGGCCTTCGGCGGCCCCCCTGGCGCCGCGTGGGAGAGAAGGGGCCAGACCTACAGCAGATGGATGTCTCTGGCTAGGAAGGGTCCTGCACATATGCAGAGAGAGGGAGAAATCGATAGCAACACAGCATAGACAATCATGTCGAGTGACAGGAAGGTTTGAGGTGCCGACGTCATGTATGCTTTGCATGTGAGACGCAAATCAATTCAGGAATAGACACACGTCGAGACATCACGATGGTTCCGTCAACTACCTATAGATGTGTATTCATATGCGCTGCTCTGTGATATCTAATTACTCAGGTCGGGTGATATGACGCTCTGTCTCTATCTCTCTCTCTCACTCGCTCTTACTGTCACCCTGGGGCTGTTTCGTCTTGCCAGTGTGGGTGTATATGGATGTATGTGCATGTATACATCTATATATATGCTACTCCCCACAGAGGTCTACCGTTTCGTTTCATTAGTTGGCGCCCGAGCGAAGCGATGATGTGATCTTGTAATTCTGATAATGAGATCTGGAAGATAGGGTGGCGTGGCGGCATTCTCATTGAATGCTCATTGGTGTCCGATTCGAATTCTGTGAATCTGGGGTCTGCACCGTTCCTGCTCATTGAGCCTCGTTTCCCTGCCTGAATAGAACCGAACATCTCTGCAGATAGGACCTGCCTAATTCCGAGTGAACTCTTCTCGGGATCCTGCCCGAATCATGCAGAAATCTTCTGGATATGGTGTCTGCTTTAGCCCTGGTGAAATCATGTGTGAATCCTCTTCGAATCAAATACACATCCATTGGTCCTCAGGTCCGATGGATCCCATTGGAATACAATTCGGCTTTCACTGTAACGCAGACAGATCGGAGGGGGTCTCACATCTAGAGGCTTCCAATGGAATCCACATTGGATTCAGGCTCGATGCCGAGTAAAAAAGAACCAGACCCCAGAATAGAACGCCAACTGGATTTAAATTGGATTCTGACTGGGTCCCTGATAGAGCAGATCACAGATCAAGAGGGTCAAATTGGATTCCGAGTGGACTCAATTTCTAAGACAAATGACATGGAATCTGGAGAGGGGTGGGGCTTGGAATTTTTAATTCTGACCCCACAACTCCCAAATATCAGCAAGCGCCGGACACCTAATATATTATAATACTAGCAGCAGGCTGGCAGTATGTGGAGCGGGGTGGACTGAAGTAAGCTGGATTAGAATAGACTGGACTGATCTGGGCTGGACTCTACTCCGCTCTACTGTGCTCTATTGAATTCCGCCCAGCTCTAGTCTAGCATCGCCACTAATCTACTCTGCCCTACTCTACCCTGCGCTACCACACCCCTGCCCTAACCTACCCGACTCGGATGTACCCCATTCTACTCTACTCCTGCTCTACTCTACTCCTATCGTCCTACCTGGGCATCCTCTGCTCGACTCGACTCTGCTCGACCAATGTAGACTCTACTCGATTTCCCCCCACGATGCCCTAGCATCTATCCTGCTCTGCGGTACACGGCTCTGCTCAGTCCTGCCCGACTCTACTCTACCCTACCGTAGCCGACCCGGCCCTACTCAACACGAGTCTACACTATCCGACCGTACCCTCTACGCCAAGTCTAACCCGATGCGTACCTTACTTTTTCGCTGTGCTCAGACAGAGGGGAAGAGCAAAGCGTTTGGAGACGGATGTCAAAAATTTGAAAATCCGAACGAGCGCGCTGGGGTGGTGGGGACACGGTCTCTGTCGAATAACGGCATGCGGGACACCCACGCCCATCGACGGCGAGCGCATGTCGAAATCCTTCCACAACTTGCGCCGCCGACACGTAGGCGCCATCATCGCCATCGGCGCGATCGGCATCGGCGCTTTCAGTCATTGGGCTTGCCGTCGTCGTCGTCATCGTCTCGCGCTAGTGCGGCCGCAGCAATGCGCCTGCCACCGCCAAGCAATCATCGCAATCGCCGCCGCGCGCGTTTTGCGAAAACATTGCGGGTGAAGGATGGGATGATTGCGCGAGCAGGAAAACTCATTGCGAAGGAAAACTAATTGCACCACGTGGACTGCACCATATAACTAATTTGCTCCACATCGGCCCCCCCTTCTCAAAAGAACATATTCCACCACCTCACCTAGGCGGGGCTTAACCCCCCACCCTCGCGTATTGCAGCTCGCATCGTTCTGCCCCCTCCCGCTCGCTCTCCACATGAATTCTCACCACCCGAGCCCAGCCGGTATTGCCCCCCTCCCCCCCCCTCCGCCATCCCTTTCAAATAATACATTGCGCGCGCATTCCGTCAACAAATATCGACAATTGTCAAGAACACTATGTGCAAATGGGACGACATGCGCACGCGCGCGTCGTCCCGCGCGCATTCCGCAATCCGTCGAATACCTGAGGTTGCGTACGGGCTTCAAACTCGAGTGGCCCGAAAAACCAAAAGAACTAATGGTCTTGCAACGTGCACTGTCAAACCTGACCGCACAAGAACGGGAAGCGCCGTTTTTGCTCATAGCAGTGTTTGTCGTCAAAGCTCTGGACGCCAGCGTTCGTACTGGGAGCTCTGGCGTTCGAAGCTGCCCACGTCATCGTTCGTAATGGAGCCTTGGGATGTCGTGGTCGGTCTCTCGTAGGCCTCTTAGAAGCAATTCTGAAGCCTCTTGGGGGCCGTTTTTTGGGGCCGTCTTGGGGGCATCTTGGGGGCCTTTTTGGGGCCTCTTGGGGGCCTCTTGGAGCGTCTTGGGGGGCTCCCGGGGGCCTCCTGGACCCTCCGGGGCCGAGGACCCGAAAAGTCCGTTCGTGTACCTCGTCTGGGCCCCCTCTAGGAGCCATATTGACGGCCTCTTGGGCCGCCGCGAAGCCTCTTGGGGCCGTCTTGGGGCCGCCTTGGGGCCTTCTGGTGCCTTCTTGGGGCCGTCTTGGGGGCCTCTTGGGCCGTCTTGAGGCGATCTTGGGGGCCTCTTGGGCCGTCTTGGGGCGATCTTGGGGGCCTCTTGGGCCGTCTTGGAGCGTCGGGAAACGGAAAAGGCGAGAACCCCAAAAACCTTCAAAAACTATTCAAAAATCATAGATTTGTGCCTCTTTGGCGCTCTTGTGTGAGTCCTCTTCGAAGCCTCTTGAGGCGTCTTGGAGGCCTCTTGAGGGCCTCCTGGGCCGTCTTGGAGCTCTCTTGGACCGTCCGGAATCCATCTTAGGGCATCTTGGAACGCTCTAGGGCGGTCTTGGAGCGCTCTTGGGCCGTCTTGGAGCCCTGGTGGCCGTCTTGGGCGCGTCTTGGTCAGATTTTTTGATTTTGCGCGGAGTGACAATTTTTCCGCAATTTTCCGGAACCTGACCGGACAAGAACGGGAAGCGCAGTTTTTTATCCACCACGTGCGTCAGAGACCGTATTGGCGAGAACGTCAGAGAACATCCCTGTTGCGTTTCCTGGCTTCGGCGCCGTCTTGGAGGTATCTTGGACGCTCTTGGGGCTGTCGTAGCCTCTGGCCTCTCGGGGGCCTCTTGGGGGAGTCCCGGGGGGGGCCTTCGGGGGCTCTATGGGGCGATATGAAGCTCTCAGGGAACTCCTGGAGCCTTTTCGCGCGTTCTGGGGGACTTCTGGCCGCCTCTTTGGAGCCCCTGGGGGGCTTCTTGGGGGTCTCTTGGGGCGTTTTGGGCGCTCTGGCGGGCCTCTGGCCGCCCCTTGGGGGCCTCTTGGGGGTCTCTTGGGGCGCTCGGGGGGTCCTCTGGGGGGCCTTCGGGGGCTTTCTTGGGCCGTTTGGAGGCCCTCCGGGAGCGATTCCAAGATAATGCTGCTTCGGAGTCCCCTCCGGAGCCGATTTTTTGAGGACGTCCCGAGCGAAACGGCCGGCCTCTTGGGGGAGTCCTGGGGGGGGTCTTCGGGGGCTCTATGGGGCGATATGAAGCTCTCAGGGAACTCCTGGAGCCTTTTCGCGCGTTCTGGGGGACTTCTGGCCGCCTCTTTGGAGCCCCTGGGGGGCTTCTTGGGGGTCTCTTGGGGCGTTTTGGGCGCTCTGGCGGGCCTCTGGCCGCCCCTTGGGGGCCTCTTGGGGGTCTCTTGGGGCGCTCTGGGGGTCCTCTGGGGGGCCTTCGGGGGCTTTCTTGGGCCGTTTGGAGGCCCTCCGGGAGCGATTCCAAGATAATGCTGCTTCGGAGTCCCCTCCGGAGCCGATTTTTTGAGGACGTCCCGAGCGAAACGGCCGGCCTCTTGGGGGAGTCCCGGGGGGGGCCTTCGGGGGCTCTATGGGGCGATATGAAGCTCTCAGGGAACTCCTGGAGCCTTTTCGCGCGTTCTGGGGGACTTCTGGCCGCCTCTTTGGAGCCCCTGGGGGGCTTCTTGGGGGTCTCTTGGGGCGTTTTGGGCGCTCTGGCGGGCCTCTGGCCTGACGGCTGTTGTTGGTGATGAACATGACGCTGCTGTTGTTGGTGATGAACATGTTGCTGCTGATGGTGATGGTGATGCGTACGATGATGATAATAATGATGATGATGAGGAGGAGGATGATGATGAGTATGAGTATGAGTATGGTGATGATGGTGGTGATGATGATAATGATGATTACGATGACGATGACGATGAGGATGACGATGATGATACGAATGATGATTATACTTATGGTGATGGTGGCGATGGTGATGATGATGCTGATGGTGTGGATGATGATGACGATGATGATCGTGGTCCTGGGCATGCGTATGATGATGATGATGATGATGATGATGATGATGATGATGATGATGATGATAATGATAATGATGATGATGATGATGATGATGATGATGATGATGATGATGATGATGATGATGATGATGATGATGATGATGATGATGATGA